ACCAATAGTGCTCTTTAACATACTAAAAGTCCCCATACCTCCGAGGTGCGGAACATCCTGAAAATTGAGCCGCCATCTTGGATTTTCATGTTTTTTGCTAATAACTTTGTTATTATTATTTTTTTCGGAAAAAGTCAGGAAAGGGAATTTGTGAAGCTTTAAAATACAAATCCAATGCTTCTTAATTTCTCGAAATGGATTGAAAACTAAGGGAGTTATGATTTTTTTATTGTATCAATAATCGCACTATACAGCATTCGCTGTGTATACCTACTACACGACAGAGCAACACTCCCCCCTCCCCCAGACATGAGCGGAGTAATGTGTAACATCCCCCCTGCCCTTACTTCCCCCTCCTGCCCTCCCACCCCTCCCTGCCCATCTGCCCTCGCTTCATCCCCCTTTTCTGGTATAAGTAGTTGATCTAAACTAATTAAAAAACTAAACATGATTAACGTATATTTGTTTGCAATGGACAATTTAGGGTTAAGGTTCAGCATCATCACTTTCTGGGTCTAAGCTGTTGCCGCAAAAATTGCCAGTACAATTCCTGCAACATGCAGTGCATTTGAGCCCCGACTTCCTACAGCTACAAGAATTAGAACACGTTTCTTTCCAACCGCAAAACAGCATTTTCAAAATGAGATCCAGTCCACAGAGTTTTTACATTCTTACGGGCTCCAAGACATTGTTTTGATTCGTAAACCAGTCAAATTCTTTAGGGTTCAATTCCTCACCCATCCAATTCTGGATCTGTAGATACACCCGTCTCAAATGTAATCTCTAGCAGCATGCGATGTAGAAGGTAATGTTGCTAGCTCGAAATTGGTAAAGAGCCTTGCCACGACTTGGCTGTACTTGATGTACCGGTAGTCATCGAGCGTTTTGCATTTTTTGGCACCGTACCACTTCAATATAAATGCTTCTCCTTGTTTAAGAAGCTCGTCCATTCGGTAGTTATTTGAAAATATTGCCCCAGGAGGGGGCGGTAAACTAACATTTGGACTGAAAATTGTTGAATCGATAAAGAATAATTAGTCTTAGACTCTTTGGTCTATAAAGTTCCAATGAATTTCGCCTATCGGAAATATCGAATTATTCGCGAAGTTATTCGTGTATAGTGCGATTATTGATACAATAAAAAAATCATAACTCCCTTAGTTTCCAATCGATTTCGAGAAATAAAGAAGCATTGGATTCGTATTTTAAAGCTTCACAAATTCCCTTTCCTAACCTTTTCCGAAAACAATAATAATAACAAAGTTATTAGCGAAAAACGTGAAAATCCAAGATGGCGGCTCAATTTTCAGGATGTTCCGCACCTCGGACATATGGGGACTTTTAGTATGTTGAAGAGTATTATTGGTACTACTAATTTTGGACATCGGTTGCTTGTCCCGAATTTGTTCTAGGTTTGAGCAAATATTACTCTAATTTTACTCGACTATTGCTACAGGTTTTATTACAAAAAAAAACGCAACAAAAAATGTTTTAAAGTTAAAAAACAAAAAATTGTTTTTGCCAAAATCATTAATTTGATTGAAAGTAAAAAAAGCGCCTGAAGTCGTAACAACGTGGGGCCCGACATATATACGAGAAAACGTATCATAAACAAATTATCGGCTATCGCGAATTAATTAGAATTAGAATTCGTTTTTTTCTGTAATTTGGAACAGAATGATAAGTAATAGCGGGTTATATGAGATACT